AGAGAAAATGAGAGTTCCTGTGGCCGGGATTCTCACCTGGCCCTGGTCGGCTTGCCCACTGCACATGTGTGGGCAGTATGTTACTACTAACTCTATAAAGAGCCCTGCCCAGTGCTCTGGGCTGCAAGGCTGCAGGAGAGCAGAGGCCGGAGTGGTGGCAGCACGGAGGACAGAGACTGAGACAGCTGTGGAAACAAAGAGACCCAGAGGCAGAGACCGGCTTGCTGCATGCGGACTCGCTCTGAGAGGACAGGATTCTAGCACTTGACCTGCCACCGTGTGAATAAAGTTGGGTATAAACCCTTTCACTTCAAGAATGTTCCATTGTCATTTTTCAGTCTCACCAAATCAAGAGTGAACTTGCCCGGGACTGAAACCCATTGGCAAGACAAGGTATTACCTCTAATTGCATCTGAAGCCTTCTGATGCAGCCTCTCAAAGTGCCCTGTGAAATGTCACTGTGGCTACTAACTGCACCTGATCTTTTGTACACTTTGCCATGCTGCTCCACAAGGGCCTGGTACAAAACAACATGGGCTTAGAATGAGAACTCAGAATGATTCACTCTGCACAAGAGCATAGCCTAGGGAGCAGATGTTGTGGTCAAACCTTGCATTAATCTGTGGCCTATTAGGCAAACTAATATAACCACTTCAGGTCCCCCTTGTTTGGCATTGTGCTGTGGTTTTATTCCATTGCTACTCAGCTCCTGTTTCTTGGATCTTTTCATCTCTAATCTAGCACTTGTTATTGAGGCATGCCCTTTGAGTATAACTCTTCTGGCTTTGACCATCATTTTTTATAAAGACCTGATTTTTCACTAATAGACTGTCTGCTTTATTTCTGTCACTTGGGCTAAAACACCCCATCATAATTCTTAATCCCTAGGATTTAATTCATGGCACCATATGCTGTTCGCCAACTAAATCTAACTGTATTTTCCCTATCATCAATAGGGTTTGAACAGCATTTAAAAATCCCTATTTGTAAATGTTGTGTCTATGACTAGGGATGCTCATAGCCCTGTTTCAAAACCAGTTGCTATTCTATATGCCCATGTGGGAAAAGTGGAAGTTCCTATGGCCAGGATCCTCACCTGACCCTAAAGTACTTGATGATGTAATTTGCCTACTGCTAGGCTACTGCTTCTACACCTGTAGGCAATAAGCTATTATTGACTGAGGCACTGTGTAAAGATCTCTGTCCAGTGCTTGGGGAGAAGGCAGAGACAAAGGAGGATTACAGACCTGAAGACTGTTGGATATAGATGTGATTCTAGTGCTTGACCTACTGCTGGGAAAATAAAGCCAGGTATAAACCCTTTTAACCCAAGAATGTTCTGTTGTCATTGTTTGGTCTCACTGAATCCATAGTGAACTTGCTGAAACCCTCAGGCAAGACAGCGCATTTTATTATTCTTCCTTAGAATACTGTAATATGGGTTTATTAGCAGATAGATGCATATCAGAATACTCTCTACATGTATGTTGTTCTTATTCAAGCTAAAGCTCAGACTACTGTCAACATTATCCAGATAAGCTTAATTTCATACCCAAACCTCTGATTTATGTTGCTTTCCAGAGGGCTGTATGGGTTTATGAATTTTCTTAATGAAGTCTCACCCACATACTTGAGGAGCAATTAATGTGTTTAATGGTGCTGATTTAATGATAACAATGTTGTCAATTCTGTTTGGAAAACAAGGTTAACAATAAACAGATGGATTTGGTTAATTGTACAATTGTAAAACTTGGTTATAAATTCCCATGTCTTCAGAATAACTCTATATACTGGTAGGAATTCTATGCAGTTTTTTTTTTTCTGAATGATCCAGTTCATCCATATAGTCCTTTTTAATATAAAATGTCAACTTTTCAAATAACTTACTTAGAAATATTCCTGTGCACAGCAGTTTTCCAGTGCAGGGCATTTTTATAAATGGATTTAGCTCACTAATTTCTGTACCTATTGTGTATACTCACCACACATGGGCTTCAACTTGGACAATTGATTTCCCATAAAGGATGAGATTAGTGGTTCAGAAACTTAGAGAAATTAAACTGATTTATAAAAATGCTATTTGCCCTATGGAAACTGAGGAAAGAAACACATTTCAGACATTATTAAGAAGTTTATTCACTAACTCATAAAGGGAAAAGCACTGATTTGTTTTCTATTTTCCGCTAAGAGCTAAAATGAACGCTGTTTCCCTTCACTGTCAGGCTTGTGTGCCAAACCATCCATGCTGCGCATGATCAGAGACCTGCCTCAGGAACAACAGGCATTCGTATCCTGGGGACACGTTGTCTGTGGGGTAGAGAACAATGCAGCTTATATAGCTTAAAAAGTAATTGATTTGGAACAAAACAGCAGCAGAATCACAGAACCCAAGAATGGACTAACAGTTACCAAAGGAAAAGAGACTGGGGAGAATGGGAGGATAGNATATCATTAATCTTTGATTCCAGTGGCCTTCAGGACAACACAAGCTATTTTTGCACCAGTAGTAATTTCTAGGGTGGTACCAGCTAATAGCTTGGGCCAAAGTGAATTTATATATGGAAAATTTAAACCAACATAATCCTTTTCTTATTCTCAAGAAATTATGGTCCCTAAACATAGCAATAAATCTGCAGTGAAAGGATAATGTTTTTGAAACCCCTATCAATCTCCATCTTATTGATGTGAGTCTCAGAGATTTTACAACTAGTTTAAATTGATGAATTGGTACCAATCATGTCCATATAGCTTTTACTTTTTGCCTCTAATTATTATTTATTGTGGATAATTTCATGTTCCCACTGGACAGAGCTTTGCAGAGACAAGAATCATAGATTGTAAGTATTTTGGAATTCCTGTCCACCAAATCACATACAATACAATACTCTGCACAAAATAGATGACCCACATGCTGTAAGTAGCAAGCATTAAATATATCTAGGTTTTTAATTTGAGACAAACATTTTTTGCATGGTGAATGCTTCTATATTAGTGTTTGCAGTTGCATACAGATCCAAAGACTTCTTTTCCTGAATCTTCAAGTTCTCATTAAAGTATTCCTATTTATTCTGAATCTCTGAGTTGATATCTGATTTCTAGTTCATAACCTGGACAGTAATTACTCATTGTTTATTACATCCAAAGTACAATGGTAGTGCAGAGAAATACATTGAAAAAAGGTAAGACAAATGGACAGTAGAATGGACAGATATCAACTTGTTTCTTCCCATTACTTTCTGATCGTTATTTTTCAGAACACTATTACATCATTCCAAAATTACACAGAAGAGCAACAGAAGCTATCTATTTCTGTAGATCTGAAGACATGAAATCAAGGCTAGGAATATTTTTAAAGTACAAAAATTGAAAGGACTCACAGGTGGACAGTCATTTATTTTGTTGAGCTTGTTTGGGTCGGCACTATGCCTTGTCTCCTATATACCTTTACTTTTTCTTTCCAGCTGAACAGACGATTTTGTCTTCACCCAAATTGGACAATTAGTCACTAAGATTGAAGCCCTTTGGTAATCTAGAATGCATCCTTTCGCTCTCCACATGGTTGTAAAGAAACCACAGCTGGTATGGAAGGGGGTTTTCCATGCACTAGCTAGGATCAGACTACATGTCTCCGTGACCTTCTCAAACCTGTCTGCTTTTGAAACTTTGCATCTGAAACTGCCCACTGCCAAAGGATAGGCAAACCCCAGATTCCTCTCATCTTGATGCACACCCTGCTGGCTAGAGAGGGATGGAATTCTGATACCAACCAGATACGTCTTGGTGGCACTCCTCTGTCTCTGTCTCCTTCTGTCCAGAGAAGCATGACAGACATTTATTCAACAAGCACTTGCTGAGGGTCTGTAACAGCACCACTCTAGTGGCTGGGCAGTAGATGTGGATAGTGGACACAACAATAATTTTCTCTCCCTAGACACTACCCAGGGTGACTACCAATGCAATCAGGAATATATATATTTATGTTTTCTTTGGCTTTTTTACTATTTGTTGCCAAAGGGTAAATTATTCTGCAGATTCTTAAAAGAATCAAACAGTAGTTGTGATGATGCTTAATTTAATGCTTCTGTGAAAACTAAAGTCAGAAGAAAATCTCCTTACCCAATTCTAGGAAAGAAAAGACAATCCCATGCTAAGCTTGGAGGATTAATTCCAGCAGGCCTGAAATTGGCCTAAGCTATTTTACTGAAATAAGAAAGTACCTGAATTGCACGGACACCTGGTCAAAGCACAGAACGTGCAAAATAGCAATGTTCCTTGTAGCCATAGTTTGAGAGGTTTCATTTATTAATTAACAATTACTGTAATGAGATTGATCATTTATATCTTGTCTCATTGAGATACCTGGAGAGCTCTGTCACTCAGCTAGTTATAAGCAAATTATATATGCAATATACTTACATGCATATATTTGTATAGCAACTTGTAGTTGTATATGCCTGCATGACCAGCTAAGTATAGAAACCTCAGCTGAGACGGCATTTGAATTACTTTGTTTGAGGTGCTTTGTGCACACATCCATACTTGCTGTACCCAGAGGAAAAAGTATGACCTGGCCTGGTAACATCCTTACAGTGGGAGGACAATTGACCTCTGGGCCTCTTTGGCCCCCTTCCCCGAGCCAGCCTTTGGCTTTGATGCACATCCTGGCATTAGTGCACCTGCTGTGTCATATACTTTTGCTGCAATGAATTCAAATTTGTAAGCATTGTTACTTGGGTCTTTGTTAGTAACAGAACCATGTCTAACCACTGCTGCTAGTGTGTGTATACTGACCCAGGCACAGGCAAGTCACACGTATAAGAAAACATTCTCAACAGGCAGAAAGAGTGGATTGTGTCATTCCTGGATAGGCAGGGCAACTGGAAGAATCTTCCACAGCCCCTGAAACACTAATTTTTCTGGCAAATTTGTTGATTTTTAGACAAATAGGCAATGATGCCTTCCCTGACACAAACCATTAACTTTTCAGCTTACAAAAGTCCTTAAAAATAATCTAAGCTGCAGCTGGCTAACAAAGCAGATATTAATGAGTATCTCAGTGAATGAAATTAGGAGACTCACATATTTATTGCTCAGGTGTGGGGAGGATTCATCAGTCTGTCAGTTCTTGGTTTTCCCTTGTGCAGAGTGCTCACCTAAAGACAGAAGAAATGCTTTGATCCATAGCTCAGAGAGTGAATATGAATGAAAATAAAGTTTCTTAGCTTATGTTTTGTTTTTTAAGGAAAGTCCTATTTCTCTGCAAGAATGTCATTAGAGCTACAATTTGCCTCTTCGTATTGTCTGGAAAATTTGCACCAAGATTTATGAGCTCTGTTGGGCCACCTTCTGTGTTTGCCCTAAAGGAATAATGCTAACTAACTCCCTGGGAGTAGGGAGTGGGGGTCAGCTGGGAGGTGATAAGAAGAGAGGCACCCTATGGAATGAGTCACTATTTTTGCTTGTTCCACGAGCTGGATCTGCCAAAGCAAAACTATGTCATATACTTAAAGGGCCATTTTATCAAGAAAACATTCTGGGTCCTCTGTTTAAATAATTCTGTGAACGTTTTGTGAAAATGAATTTATAGGCCAACATGAATACTTAGGTGGCTTATAGAACAGCACAAGGGAACGTTACTCAAATAACAGTGTTGCATTATCATCCAATCTAAAGATAAACTTAACCTAGGATGAGTGGAAGCTGAGAGACCCCAAGCATTTTTACCTGCCCCTGGATTTGTGGTCACACATTTCCCATTACCTGTGTCTTTCAGAGAGATTCAAGTATCAACAGTAGTCAAAATATATAAAAGCAATTGGGTCAAAGTCTCCAGCTTTGAAAATAAATGTTATTGTTTTGCTATGACTTTTATCTGCCAGTTACGAAACCTGTCTTCTGAGGACTCTGCTGATGGCCTCTGTTACCTGCATGGTTATGGTGAAAGGAAATACTCCCAAAGACCTATGAATAGAACAAACATGGGGCTCTCCTTCAAGAATGCCTTAGGACTGAGCTCTTAGAAATATCAGGCATAGTGCAACAGCCCTCACTACCCTGTCCCACCACAACGTTTTGCTGACTACTGTTTATTTTGCAGAAGGAGAACCTGAAGTGCATGGTTATGCAGTACAGGAATGAAAAGTGAATAAAATAAACATTTACTGAACCACTGCTGTCTTCCAGAAGTCATGTAAATCAAATCATAAAATCAGTACAATTATTAGTATCTCCCTCCAAGGTCTAATTGGGAATAGAAAATGTGAGAAAGATTCAACAACAATATGACTTCAATAACAGTTATAATAATGATATCTATGGTAAAAGCCAATGAGACACCAACAGACATAGATAAAAACAATTGGAAGGAAATAGACGAAATGCTAATTGTGGTTTGTATCGAGGTTGCACTTCATGAGTAATTTGTAACTCTTTTCTATTCTGTCTTTTTCTCCATTCTCTATTATGCATAATGTGGTCAAATATTAAAATGGCAGTTTAAGCTGTAAAGAGATACTACAGTACAGTAATACGTATTGATTTGCCAATTAAGAGGAGGGAAAAACCATGTGTTGCTGGGCCAGTCAAGGAAATGCAGGAAATGAGCCAAATATTGAAGGGCTGAGTATGGCTTTATAAATTCATGATCATATTGCTCTTTACACTTTTAGTCATTTCTTGCTGTTAATGAACTTCTATTTATACAAATTAGAAAAAAAAGGTGACTGTACATTAATGAGCAATTACCATAATACAAATAGCATTCATATGCTGCTAATGTGTAACCAACACAGTGAATGCGTTTTCTAAGCAGAGGAATATAATAAATTCAGATATGATTTTTCTTCCTCCAAATGGTTCAAAATTAAGAAATGCTTTGAAACTAAATTCAGAGATAGTGTGTGGATTTATGTATTCTTTCACTAAGTAGTTTTCTTCATAACTCTGAAAGTCTTCAGTAATAAAATGAGATACTGTATACTAACTTTCTGAGATGTGATGGGAATCACATTTAAAATGCATCACGTCACATGTATATTTGCAGTCAGTCATGATGATGTTTAACTTGTCAAGATCTCTTGCTAAAGAGGAGTGGTATCTTATATGTTCTCAGCAAAGACTCCTTGATCTGCTGTGTTTGACGCTCAATTTTTTTTTTGAAAGCATATTGTTGTATTTTAGTAGGCTTCCTCTATTACATTAAAGGAAATCCCTACTTTAATTTAATTTTGTACATTTATGAGCTACGTTTTCAGCAGAAGAATCCTGCTTGAGAGAGGACGTATTTAAAAGGAGTAGGGAGTGTGGTTGTATGAACACTATGTAGTAACGAGAGGAGGCTTTGGGGCAAGGAACTGCCTTATATATAGGGAGAAAATGACCAGTACACTAACCATGGCTCACAGAGGCTTCTAGAAGCCCAGACAAGGCAGCATCCACTGGCATTTCCCTTGAAGGCAAGTTGCTGCCAAACCGTTTCCTTGGAAACACGATTTACTGACCTCTAGAACGGTGCAGTTTTTTTTGAGATATAAGACCAGAGTTTATAACTTGAAGTACTGACCAATCCAATGAATTCTTATGTCCACTAAAACTCAAGTTTCATTTTGGTTCCACTTAGTCACATTAATTAACACTGTAGCTCTTAGGCCTGAAGCAAATAATATAAAATGTAACAATCATCAATTCTGAGCAGTGAGTAGTCAGTTATTTGTTCTATCAAATTCTTTTCTGTATTTAAAAAATTTCTAAAAACTTTTATATAGATGATAATAGAAAATTGGACTAAACCCGTCAACTTATATCAAACCTAATCATTTCAGGTTTTATTCTAGTTGTAGGGAAGATGTCACTATTGGGCAAAAGATATTTTAGTAAATATAATAATGTAATATCTGTTGAGTACAGTGAACATAGTTTTATAAAGAAAGCACATTTGAATAAGTTCAAAAGGAAATGGAAAGAGATTTCTTTGTGAGTGTTTCAGGATCCAGACTAATAAAAATTGTGGTAGCACAGAGAGCATTCAGAGATTGTTATGTTTTAGATGATTAATTCTATGTTATTGAAATCTACTCTGAATCCCCAATTTCAGTCTTGCCTTATCACCAAATATTTTCCATGGTAATCAGCTGGGTTGACTATTGAGAGGTCATTTTATTAGAAGAGGTGTTATTCCTAAAATGAGGTTGGCATAAATAAAAGTACTACAAGATAGATCTTGTTATTTCCATGATAATTTTCCTCCTAGGAAAAAGAAAGAAGCTCAGAGTTAAGGGTCTTCTTAACTACCCCGCCATAGTCTATTCCACTTAATATTGCAGTTCTAAGAGAGTAGGAGGTAACCAGTTAATGCAGAATTTCCTTGGGCTGAAAAGAAGCATCAGATACTAAATTAGCAACCAAGAGACACAAGGTTCTGTTCCCCTCTGGAAACCTCAATTCTGGTGTCAATTGTCATTTCCCTGGTAGAACTGTGGGTTAGAGCAGGTGGTCCTGATCCCAGCCCCCTTCCACAGGAAGAGCCAGGGACTCCCACCTGGAGGCTCCTTCCAAGGCTGTTTAGTGCACCAACGCACGGCCTCAACTGCCTGAGGCTGCGGAGCGTTTTATGACATTCCCAGGGAGGAAGGGTGAGTACATGAAACTATTGTGGTGCTTGCGTACAAGCCAAGGCAGATTCTGAGAACTTTTCTTGAGAAATGTGTAGTCATGCTCAGGATTCTCGATGAGCTCATTCAAGATCACACCTCATTTAGGTTGCTTTCCCCTTGACCCAACAGAATAGACTTGGCTACTTAGTCAAGACTAGTGTATAGCCAGGGGAGACTGAGTGGTTTCCAGTTATCCGAGGAATGAAATTTACTCCTTTTCCCATTCACATGGCTACTACCTCTGAGGGAAAGGTGTGGGAATACAGGAAACATGTATATCCAAGAATAGTAGAGATACAAGGATGAAGGAGGTCTCTCTAAAAATAAAATGACTCAAGAGGGGTTTGGACATGTCTCTGCCAATTATGGGTGCCCCCAAGTCCTATGCTTCCCCATTTTAGTTGGTTTTGGTTAGAATCTCCTACCTGAAATCAGGACCACATTCAGTCTACAGTCTCTGGCTCTTAAACTGGGATGATATTTATAGCTTTTGTTTTACAAAGTAGTCTCTTTGCTACATATTTATGACATAGTTTATAATTCTATAGCTCTTACTTTCCATAACATCTGTGTTCTGGATCTATAGGTAGAATTGAGAAGACTCAAGAGTATAAATGTATTAATGTTACTTGATATTTAAATTAGGCCACAGGGGTTGATTTGTAAAGTTAAGAATTTCTTTTTATTTATCTGTCTTGTGATATTGATGTGCTAAATATTTGGTCTATTCAAAGCAAGAAGATAATCTGTGCTTTCTTATTTTTAAAAACTACATCACATCTCGTTTTTCATTGCTCTTGATACAAATATAACTTCTACACATCGTATCTATATTTTGGAAAGTTTTTAAATATCAAATCAAAATAAAAACCTAAGAAATTGGAAAAAGAAATGTAAATTTTATAAACAGGAAATTGTGTTTTGTCCTTGTTGGGAGGCTCAATTAAAACTATATGAAATGATACAAAATATGATGTACATCTTAACTGATGAATCCTGTTTCCAGTCCGTTATACATAGCCATTACTGAAAAGGAAACAAAATCACAGTAATAATAATAATAATAATAAAACCATAGTATGCTTAATGTTCTTTCTGCTACTACTGCAGAATAGAAAATTCCTCTAGCCACCACCTATTTTTTAGAATGTATCTACACATTATAAAAAGTGACTTCTAAAAGCCAGATAGTCTAACAATCTTACCAAAAATAGTATTTCTAGGGTTTATCTTTCCTTTATAGGAATTTTGTGTTTATGGGGAGTTACTAATTGACTTTTTCTAAAGATGTTAGTTTTCAGTATGTGTCACAGAACAAAATCCACATTAGATTTTGAAATAACCATGTTTCATCTAATCAGCAATCTAGGAGCTTACCGGGCTCATGAGAAATTGTCTTAACAGTGAGAAGCTTCACACTCTCTTTATCAGATTGAGGTCTATTTGGAACAGAAAACATGAATTAGCACCACAGTAATTAGTATTGTATGTCTGTGAAAAAAAAGTGAACATGATATAAACAGAAGGAAGAAGATACACAGCATATATATTTTTGTGTGTTTCTATGGAAAAACCCATGTTTCTTTACAGAAACACATACACTTTTACAGCACTATCTTCTGGAATCAAGCCCATCAATCTCTGTCATTCTGTTATAGTAATGATCATCAGATAAACATCAAGATGTATCATAAGAAGCATTTGTCACAAGGTCCATATTGCACAGGTTTGCAGTCCTGAACCATGAAGAGGAAAATGTAGAAATGTTTCCAAACCTTTTGGGCTGATGCTAAGGTTCTGTTAATGGTCCTTTCATGAGGTCCTGGATATTGCAGTCCAGTGCCTGTCCTGTCTATTTTAACTGAGTCCCCACCAAGCCTTTCTCAGATTCTGAACAGTTTTAAGCCCCAATTCTTTCCTCGGACATCTCAAGAGCCTCTATTTCTAAGTAAGAAGGGTAGATGATCTCAGCCTATTATTTCTAAAGTTCATAGCCTGATGAACATAGAAAAACATCAACACAACGGCAGGCTGCAAATTCAGGTCAACAAAGAAAACTTAACCACTGATTTGTTTTTGACATTAAAACAATCAGTCTTTTTGCAGCCCCTTAATTCCAGCAGTTGGCTGGATTGGTAACACCTGCTTTGTTTGTTTTTAATAAGTCAAAGCAGAATAACCATCTACTGTTGAGGTAAAGGCACTCAGAGCTGTCTCAAGGTGCAGGCATGACTGTTTCTTAATTGAGATAAACATACTGACAATTTCACTGGGAAAACTATTTTAGAACTCTATGTATCTCTGTCATTTTTCCTTGTAGTTATATTCAGTCTATTTTTGCATTTCATCTTTTAATTTCACATTTTATTACTTTATCCAAGCTTAAGAGTAATCTTCTTTAGTTGTTGGAATTTCTCTGTTGAGAGAGTTATGACAAATATTTAGTCAAACTCGATTTATAATGCTTTTTTTTTAAGTAAAGCATCAGTACTTTTGGTAGGTAGGGTTAGAGCTTCTAGAAAAAAGTGTGGCATTACTTACTGGTCATTTCCATTTTCTGGAGTGCCTAGGAAGGAAGAGAATTGTTATTAGTGTTGCAAGAAGCTTGGATACAAAAAAAAACCCAAAAACACATAGCTAAGACCCCTGCTACCTTCTGTGCAGAGATCTTTCTAAAGCCAGTTTTTAACTTTTTTAATCTCCCCTGCAGCCCACTGGCCATTTTCTCAGATATGGTTACTACTGATGCCTCAGGTATGGATAATAAATTCATGGGGTAGTCCTAACTAGGCCAACTCCACTGAACTTAGTTCTGGGCTAATTTTAATCTTATATTTTCAGATTACTATGTGAAACTACTACCCATTATTGTGCATCCCACAGACACCAGCAAATGTGTCAGGTTACTTCAGCATGTCTGAAAAAAATTCCCAAAGTATTGAATTACATTTTTATGCTAGGGAATTGAATTTTTGACTTTCCTTTATACATTGCTTTTTCTGGGGACACAAATTATCATATTTGTGGTGAACTGCAATGTAGATTGTAGAGAAAATGAGAGTTCCTGTGGCCGGGATTCTCACCTGGCCCTGGTCGGCTTGCCCACTGCACATGTGTGGGCAGTATGTTACTACTAACTCTATAAAGAGCCCTGCCCAGTGCTCTGGGCTGCAAGGCTGCAGGAGAGCAGAGGCCGGAGTGGTGGCAGCACGGAGGACAGAGACTGAGACAGCTGTGGAAACAAAGAGACCCAGAGGCAGAGACCGGCTTGCTGCATGCGGACTCGCTCTGAGAGGACAGGATTCTAGCACTTGACCTGCCACCGTGTGAATAAAGTTGGGTATAAACCCTTTCACTTCAAGAATGTTCCATTGTCATTTTTCAGTCTCACCAAATCAAGAGTGAACTTGCCCGGGACTGAAACCCATTGGCAAGACAAGGTATTACCTCTAATTGCATCTGAAGCCTTCTGATGCAGCCTCTCAAAGTGCCCTGTGAAATGTCACTGTGGCTACTAACTGCACCTGATCTTTTGTACACTTTGCCATGCTGCTCCACAAGGGCCTGGTACAAAACAACATGGGCTTAGAATGAGAACTCAGAATGATTCACTCTGCACAAGAGCATAGCCTAGGGAGCAGATGTTGTGGTCAAACCTTGCATTAATCTGTGGCCTATTAGGCAAACTAATATAACCACTTCAGGTCCCCCTTGTTTGGCATTGTGCTGTGGTTTTATTCCATTGCTACTGAGCTCCTGTTTCTTGGATTTCCTTTCATCTCTAATCTAGCACTTGTTATTGAGGCATGCCCTTTGAGTGTAACTCTTCTGGCTTTGCCCATCATTTTTTATAAAGACCTGATTTTTCACTAATAGACTGTCTGCTTTATTTCTGTCACTTGGGCTAAAACACCCCATCATAATTCTTAATCCCTAGGATTTAATTCATGGCACCATATGCTGTTCGCCAACTAAATCTAACTGTATTTTCCCTATCATCAATAGGGTTTGAACAGCATTTAAAAATCCCTATTTGTAAATGTTGTGTCTATGACTAGGGATGCTCATAGCCCTGTTTCAAAACCAGTTGCTATTCTATATGCCCATGTGGGAAAAGTGGAAGTTCCTATGGCCAGGATCCTCACCTGACCCTAAAGTACTTGATGATGTAATTTGCCTACTGCTAGGCTACTGCTTCTACACCTGTAGGCAATAAGCTATTATTGACTGAGTCACTGTGTAAAGATCTCTGTCCAGTGCTTGGGGAGAAGGCAGAGACAAAGGAGGATTACAGACCTGAAGACTGTTGGATATAGATGTGATTCTAGTGCTTGACCTACTGCTGGGAAAATAAAGCCAGGTATAAACCCTTTTAACCCAAGAATGTTCTGTTGTCATTGTTTGGTCTCACTGAATCCATAGTGAACTTGCTGAAACCCTCAGGCAAGACAGCGCATTTTATTATTCTTCCTTAGAATACTGTAATATGGGTTTATTAGCAGATAGATGCATATCAGAATACTCTCTACATGTATGTTGTTCTTATTCAAGCTAAAGCTCAGACTACTGTCAACATTATCCAGATAAGCTTAATTTCATACCCAAACCTCTGATTTATGTTGCTTTCCAGAGGGCTGTATGGGTTTATGAATTTTCTTAATGAAGTCTCACCCACATACTTGAGGAGCAATTAATGTGTTTAATGGTGCTGATTTAATGATAACAATGTTGTCAATTCTGTTTGGAAAACAAGGTTAACAATAAACAGATGGATTTGGTTAATTGTACAATTGTAAAACTTGGTTATAAATTCCCATGTCTTCAGAATAACTCTATATACTGGTAGGAATTCTATGCAGTTTTTTTTTTTCTGAATGATCCAGTTCATCCATATAGTCCTTTTTAATATAAAATGTCAACTTTTCAAATAACTTACTTAGAAATATTCCTGTGCACAGCAGTTTTCCAGTGCAGGGCATTTTTATAAATGGATTTAGCTCACTAATTTCTGTACCTATTGTGTATACTCACCACACATGGGCTTCAACTTGGACAATTGATTTCCCATAAAGGATGAGATTAGTGGTTCAGAAACTTAGAGAAATTAAACTGATTTATAAAAATGCTATTTGCCCTATGGAAACTGAGGAAAGAAACACATTTCAGACATTATTAAGAAGTTTATTCACTAACTCGTAAAGGGAAAAGCACTGATTTGTTTTCTATTTTCCGCTAAGAGCTAAAATGAACACTGTTTCCCTTCACTGTCAGGCTTGTGTGCCAAACCATCCATGCCGCGCATGATCAGAGACCTGCCTCAGGAACAACAGGCATTCGTATCCTGGGGACACGTTGTCTGTGGGGTAGAGAACAATGCAGCTTATATAGCTTAAAAAGTAATTGATTTGGAACAAAACAGCAGCAGAATCACAGAACCCAAGAATGGACTAACAGTTACCAAAGGAAAAGAGACTGGGGAGAATGGGAGGATAGACAGGGATAAGGGTGGGGAAGAAGAAAGGGAGTATTATGATTAGCATGTATAATGTAGGGAGTGGGGGAAAGGGGAGGGCTGTGCAACACAGAGAAGACAAGTAGTGATTCTACATCTTACTATGCTGATGGACAGTGACTGTAATGGGGTTTGTGGGGGGGGAGGACTTGGGGTGAGGGAGAGCCTAGTAAACATAATGTTATTCATGTAATTGTAGATTAAAGATAACAAGAACAACAAAAAAAGTGGTCCCACCAAAGCAAAAAAAAAAAAAAAAGAATGATAGTGCTGCACAGAGAACATAGCCAATGATCCTGTAACATCCTCCTGTGTTGACAGATAGTAACTGCGTTAGAGGGGAGTGAGGATTTAATTATGTGGGTAACTGAACCACTGTGTTGTGTATTTGAAACCAGTATAAGGTTGTCTATCAATGATACTTAAATTAAAAAAAGAATTTAGTGGTAAAAAAAAAATATATATATATATATAAAGAACTCTTACAACTCAGTAAGACAAATATCTCAAAAAAACATGACCAATAAATATTTAATAGATCTTGCATCAGTGATACATGCTCAGTATCAGTAATCATCAAGGAAATGAAAATTAAAGCCACCATGAGCTAATAAATACTATATACCCACTAATATAACTTAAATTTGAAAGACTGACAATACCAATTTTTTTAAGTAAAGAGTGACTGGAACCCTCATACATGTGCTGGTGTAATGGAAAAATGTACTGCCCCTTTGAAAACCAGTTTGGTAATTTTTTAATGACCTGGGAAAACCACTCTTAGATATTTATTCAAGAGAAATGAAAAGATATGTCTATATAAAGACTTGTATATAAATATTTCTAGAAGCTTTACTCACAATAGCTAAAAGCCATCCAAATATCCATCCAACAGTGAATGGATAAACAATTAATGGTATAGACATACAATCGAATTCTTCTCAGCAAAAAAAAAAAATGTATTAGAACTACTGATATATGTAACTATTATAGATTTATTTCAAAGTTGTTATGGGAATGCCACATACAAAAAACTATATACTGTATGGCCAAATTCTTATAAAATTCTAGAAAAGGCAAAACTAGTGACACAAAGTAGATGAGCACTTGCCTGGGCCCTGGAAGGGAGTGCGGGGACTGACTGCAAAGGGACGGGAAGAAATGTTTCGGAGTGACACATATGTTCTCTTTGACTGTGGAGGCGATTATACAATTCTATGCAGTTGACAGAACTAATTTATTGAACTGTATACTTCAAATACATGTATTTTGTTATATGTAAATTATACTTAAATGAAGCAGATTTAAAAACAAAAACAAAACAAAAAATTAATTGATTTTTACTTTTAACATCATATAAGACTTAGGTAGAGTTCTGTGAATAAAATATTTAGAATTAAAATGATGAAAAGGTAGGTTCTATTTTACTGAAAATTCAACTCAACAAGCATACAGTAAATATTAAGGCTCTGCTAATATGTTATGCATGATGCAATGTAAACAATATGTGGTTTGTGGCTTGGAGAGGTTGCCTAGTGTGAGCAACTGAATGTTTCTGCTCCCTAAAATTCATATGTTAGATTTTAATGCCCATTGTGGTGGTATTTGCGTGTTGGGCCTTTGGAAGGTGATCAGGTTGTGAAAGCGGAGTCTTATGATGTTAGTGACTTTATAAAAGAGATCCCACAGAGCTCTCTTGTTCCATCCATCACATGAAGATGCAGTGAGAAGGCAGCTGTCTACAAGCCAGGAAGATGCCCTCATCAGACACTGAATCTGATGGTGCCTTGATTGGTCTTCTCAGCCTCCAGACCAGTGATAAATAAATGTTTGTTGTTTAAGCCCCTCAGGTTATAGTATTTGGGTTATACTAGCCTGAATACACTAGGAGACATAAGACTCACAGGGGAAGCAGGCACATAGAGAAGTAACTATACTGTAGTGTGATGAATAGTATCACAAAATTCTGTTGAATTAGAAAATAACATTCTATTCTGCTTAAAGAGATGGTGTTATAAAAAAGATCATTCAATTGATATTTGAGCTAGATCTGAATGGATAAATTGGAATTTAGGTTATACAGGTTAACTGATGGGCTGGACATTCTAGGAGAAGGAATAGCATAGATAAAGGCAAGGATCATGATACTCCATTACACAACCAGGGCAGGGGTCTGGGATGGAAAGAGGTTGTTCAGCATAACAGAGGGCAGTGATGAGCCATGGGTCCTGAAATGGGCAGCTGAGGCATTGAATAAAAAGAGAGCTCAAGTTCCTGGAGCAGAAAAGAAGACTGAATGAAGACTGAAAGAATCTGAGCAAGATAGGGATTGTAGCTAATAACAATGTATTAGTATTATTTAATTAATTGTGACAAATATACTATATCTAAGTAGGATATTAATAATAAGGGAGACAAGGTGTGAGACATATGTGAACTCTATTTTTGCAAGTTTTCCATAAATCTAAAACTATTTTAAAATAAAAAGATTATTTAAAAAAAGAATAAACACTATACTGCAACTATGTGATATATTTAAGAGGCAGATAGAAGAAGAAATAGCAAAAAGAAAAGAAACAAAGAATGGGGATGTAAAAGATAGCAGTGGCATTTTAAAGACTTTTAATGCTATTGGAGAGATTAAGGAGGATAATAAAGAATTGTCAGACTAAAATCCTACTAAAAATTACAATCGTGTTCAATCCTGAGAAACGGATTCAATTAGCAGAACACACAGCCATGGAAGACACCTTCACTGAAGCAGGGTGTACCTGGATAGGTGGGGGGAGAACTGAGTCACAGAACACTCTTTTTGAGAGGATGGACCCTAAACTTAATATTTAGCAAAACTTACCTTGATTCTCTGTTACATGGGCATGGTACAAATCTTCCTTAAAGACAAAGTATGTCACTTTATGCCACCTTTACTACCATATTACTCTGATGAACCACAAAGCTGGGGTTATTTCATTAAAAATAATTTGCCCATATTTGATAGTATCTGTGGCTAGTAGTTGATCCCTATTTGTCCATATTTGATATTATCTGTGGCTAGTTGTTAATCCCTACTCTTTACATTCGTGGCCATTTTTGTGGATTTCTCTGCCCCATTCCCCCTTTTTCTTTCTGCAATCCTTCTTTCCCCATAGGACTTTAAATTCAACTTTAGATTGAACACATATTCACCTTTCGGAAAAACAAAATGAAACAAAACACTGTTACTGTTACCTACCTGGGTCTGTTTTCCAGCACATTCGATACAAACCCACAAGAACAAACACTGAAAGTGTTATCACAATCAGAACAATAACCACTGGCAAAATAATACCTAAAAAGTATCAGAGACATAGTCAGTTAGATTGGATATTGAATTTCACAATAAATAGCCTACTAACTGAGCAAAAGCATACATGCTTCCTTTCTTCTTTAGACAGCATTCTGTTAAACATATTTCAGCTTTGCAAAGAAGATTTTATTTGATAAAGGTTTTGCTCTAGTTGTCATTTCTGGTGTATCCACTTGATGTCAGTCTTGCAGCCTTTCTGAAAAAGAGCTCCAAATTTAAGGAAGACATTTCCTCGCTTTCCTGGAGCCTGGAGCCTGGAGCCTGGAAGACTGGAGGGGCAGAAGTTGTCCTCTAGACCTATAGTCAAACCCGCATTCACACATTATATTGTTTACTGTTTTTTAATGAAGTTACTAGGAAAAAAAAAAAGAAAAGAAAAAAAAAAATATATATATATAATGAGACTGTTCCAGTCATAATACGGGCTTCCTAAAATCTCACAAATATCTTTCCATAATAATACCTTAAAACCAGAAAAAGCATAAAATGGCATAACTGCATATAAATGGATATCATGATGTATATGATTTCTAAAAATGAACAACTTGGTTGAAAAAAATATGCACGTGTGTGTGTGTGTATGTGTGTATGTGTGTGCGCACGCATGCATGTGTTTGGGTGCATGGTGTTGCTGCAAAAATTAGGTTGAGTTTTTCCTGTTTTTATTACAAGGACGGTTTTTGCAATTTTTTAGCATCTGCCTTCTTTTGTGACAGTTATTTCCCAGGTTAAAACAATAGTGATGAAAGGAAAAAGCTGTTACAGGGATATAACTGGAAATATAGAAGTTATAGTTACTCTTTAGTTAGTGTTCTGGTATGCTTGCATATGTGCTCCTCATATTTATTAGGGGGTGGGAATAGTTATCGAGTTCATTTCTAGAGTGGTTTACACTTCCAGTTTTATGGTTAAATATTTGTTTCATGTTAGACCTTAAGTGAAGGGCCTCCCCAGGTGAAAATGACATGAATTAGCAGGTCAATAAATACAAAGCTGACTTACTGAATGTAATGGCTTTACCCAAATCAAAGATTATCTTTTATCATCCCAGCTTCACATATATTCATTTTATTCTTAATTTCTAGGGAAATTTCCTCTCTTCAGTCCTTCTATACATATATATTATATGACATATTTGTATTTTTGCTAAGATGGTACATTTTGTAAAAGGCCATTTTTAATATTAAGAGAAAATTCTGTAAGGGTGAGCAATTCATTTTTATGGACATCTCTGCCTGTTCATGTCAGCCTCTCTGAGACTAGGCCCATCAATTTGCCTTGACCCTTGGTTCATAATTGCTTAGCACTAAGGTCAGAAAGAAATCCCAAAGGTGTGCTCATAAAAATCAGACACATTAGGAAATTCTCAAATCAAGGCAATTAGGATTACAGTGGAACTGCAGGTTTAGTTAAGTTGATCAAGTCCATCTGTTATCAAATCCCTCTCTTATCAGTCACATTCAAACATCCTGAGTATCTATTGCCATGAATAAAGATGTCTGTTACTCACTGGAATAAGAGGGGCTGGCTGAAGAAGAGCTTGCATTTTTTGCATTCTCAGTGCCTATTTTTTAAAAAAGAAAAATTTAAGTCACCTTTGGTTAATGTGTGCCAGTCCTCAGTGTTCCCTTCACCACCCCCCTTTGTTATATAAAACATCACTGTGATCTATAGGTATGATGCTTCTAGTGAAAAAAATTACCTCATTCTGAAAGAACTCTGTTTTATGAAACAAGACTAGTGAGAGTTAATGTATATATTTTGATGAGTTTGGACATATTCATATATCTGTCAAGCCATCACCACAGTCAATGTAATAGACACATTCATCACCTCTACAGAGCCTGGCAAGGATATGGAAATTGGCCTGTTCCTGGGAGCCATGAACTCCTCTGCAGAGGGAGTTGGGCTGAAGGAGTCCCTGACAGCCTTTTTGAACCAGCCTTTATGAAGGCATATAAGATATATAGAAATATCCCCTTTTATTGTGGATATGCAGGGTATTTTTGTATATCAATTATACAATTACTCAATAAAGCTACTAAAAAAAAGATTGGTAGGGTTTTCTTGGTGAAGAAGAGGTCATGCAAAGCAGACTCATGCACATGAAAGTCATACCTTGAGACTGTGAGATGTTTTCTGGAATTGATATTGTTTTTGAGGGTAATATGCTGGTGTTAGAAGGTGATGCATTTGGTGGCAGAGTGTTAACTGCAAGAAAATCACAAATCCAAAGTCATAGCACAGTATTAAGTCTTCTTACTAGACTCCTTTGTGGAATCAAATACTACCTCTGAAGATCTATGAAAACTGCTTCATTGAATAATAGGACACATACAATCATACACTAAATCATAAATACATCTATTACTCCTGTAAAAATGATTAAATTTGGAATCACAAAACCTGGGTATCAGTATCATATCTTCAAAAACTGGCCAAAAGAACTTAAATTATTTTACACAGCCTCTTATTCTAGGTTATAACCCGTATCACCTACTGTATGAGCTTCTTGTGGGTTGCAAATCTATGCAAAAGCAGAATTCACATTATCACTTTGGGTGATACTGACTTTTTTTCACCATCCCACATACCTAAAATGGACATAAATGCACAGGACTTCTGATTGTATAATGTTTCTTTGTGGCTGAAGAAAAATATTGTAATTCAAGCTTTGGTTAAAAGGATTAGAGTAAAATCAAAGATTCCTTCATTTTCATCTTTAAACCTCAGTAGTTGTTTATACTTATCTAGAGTCCCTGCTGCCTGATTGCATTTCCATCCCTGTCCATGTTCTTGTCTTCCAAGAAAAATGTTAATTTAAAATGTATTATTATTATTTGTTTAGGTCAACATTTGCTACATGCAAACTGAAGGACTGAAACAAAAATTATAAATAAAAATGTATTATTCAAAATCCACAGGTCTCAGTAAGCTGCAAAAAGTGTACGTAAGTAAACATTTTACAACATTTATAGGATTTATTCTTGTGCATTTGGGACAAAATATAATTGGTTTTAAGAAAATTCTTTAAAAAAATTATTCTGTTCCTCTTGTAATATAAAGTGATCTCTTTGAATCATACCTATTTGTCTTGTCACTCCACTGAGTTTCAGGTTCCTGGAGTGTGAAGGCCTTAACTCCCACTGTGCTCCACATGGAGCGCTGGCTGCAGTGGGTGCACCATAAAATGCAGCTGACTGCTTGGATGAACTAAAAGGCATCTCTTATAATTATAGTCCCCTTAGGAGTATTGAGGCCATGTGTCATTGCATCAGAAAATTGGTATTGCCTAAGACTGCCTTGGATCTTTCCCTCTTTGCCACCCACAGCCCAGCACACACTGCATGCTTATGAATTTTTGACATCTGTGGGGGAAGAATAATGTTTGGAGTCTGTACTGTTCTTGCCATGCAAGAGATCTGTGGGAGGAAGCTAGATACATGCCCGTAAGAACAAAGACAAATGTCAGGCTAGTGCACAAAGCAGGCAGAAAAAGGAACATGAAATGAAAGAGTGGGAACCAGCTGAAACCCTGGTACCTTTCTTTGCACTTTTCAGTGAAAAATGTTTTACTCTCTTCGTTGTGTTGGTAGAGAACAAGATGGATGATTAAATAATCAATGGCATTCATCTACCTGGGATTTCCCAAGGGTTAATTTCAAGACTCCACATACTACCTTATCACTTTCTCATCATAGGCTCACTGGCAGCTACAGTTCGGAGTATAATCTTTCAAGTTCAAATAAAACTAACTTAAAACAATGATTGCCCAGTGCTAACTGTTATAGTGCTAATGGTTCATAGGTAGGCAATAAAACTAATCCTTCTTTAAAAAGGACTTATTGGCTCCTTGAACAAAGACTTTACAATTTTTGTGTATGTTTTCTTTTAACCCCAACTTTCAGTTATTAAAATTTCTGAAACCAGTACACACACCCCTTTCCCCATCCACACACACAGAGTTTACATTTATTATGTGTAATGCCTTCTGGTGTTTTCTTTTGTATTCTCTTTTCTTTCATTTCTAAAAATACTGGTCATGACCCATTGGATGAACTTACAGTTTGAGGAATCCTGTCCATTAGCATGATTTTATTGAAGAAATGATGGCTCTTAGCTGAATTAATAAATTGTGGGCCTAATATGATTCTTCCCCTAAGATAGAGTGATCCAAGATGTGTTCAGAACTGATGGTCTCTATGGATTTTGTTGAGACTCTATTATCCTATATTACTATTCAAATAGCATTGGCTGAGGAGGTACAGGAGAGGCTTAGTGGAGTAGTTTAAAAGCATGATTCGGAAGTCAGAGTACCTGGGTTCAAATCTGATTCTAGCACTTATTTGCTGCAGAATCTCAGACAAGTCACTTAATCTTTTTGTGCTTGAATTTTCACATCTACTGATAGTGATTATAATAATAGTTGTACATCATAGTGCTGTTATGAAAGTTAAATGAGTAAAGTTTAAATTGTTTAGAGGAGTATTTAATGCTAATATATTTATATTTTATATACTATTATTAAAATATAATGTGATTTCATTATATTATTTTATAATATTCTATTATTATATTGTGTTTAGGCCTCCTAGAGAGTCGTATCTTTCAATCAAAGCTAATTTATCTAATTTTCACAAAAATTACAAGTGTAAAAATATATGTAACAGATTGATCAGACACCTCCATGTTTTCAAATCCTTCTTTTCTAGTCAGGAACTGGAAAAACTGGAGTATACCTGATGTTCTTCGGTGACATAGGTTTGCTCTTGGACACTGACTTCTGGTGAGTGTAGTGATTATTTAATTGCAGATATGTTGTGTCATGGTTTAAATCCAGTTTTCAAACTTAAGACAAACCTTGGAGCAGGTTGATTGAGGTAAAGACACTCAGAGCCACGTCTGTTGTAATGACGTGTACCCAAATTTACCCCGTTGGCATCTGACAGTGGTACATATTTGGCCCTTGCTGTGAACCAATGACTTGAAAGTCCCTGGGAGTTTTGGGACAGATCTTGTTGATGTTCCAGGGCACCTTTGAGGCGAGGAGAAAGCACCTCTCAAACTCCAACTACAGATGACATAAATGACCTAGGTGCGCCCCCTTGCTCTCTGACATATGACGACTTGTTTGGAGGATGCCATGCCTCCTCCAGGCTGCTCCCAGCCAATGACTGAACCTGGCAAGCATATGGCAGCAGACCTGTTCCTGGGAGCCATGAGCTCCCCTGAGGAAGGATGTGGGCTGGAAGGGTCTCTGATGACCTTCTTGAACCTTCCTTAGAGAAAGGCGTCTAAGATACATATATATTAATGGAAGATGAGCATAAGTGGCAGCAGAGGATACAAGGTTTTGGTATAAGAAAGAAACTATAAAGATATGCTCCATTTTTATTTCTCTTCTGTTGCCTATACTTTTTTGTGATATGTGGTCACTTAATATGTGCCTGAGGGGCTAAATTCAATTGAATTGAATGATTATTAAGCAAATAGTTAGAATGGTCTTTAATTGCTGTTTTATGGATTCATGTCCCATTTTTTAAAGAGAACTTACTAGCATTTAACCCAAGAAATCATTCATTCCTCCTTAACACATTTTCTTCCTGACCAGTAGAGCACACTCTAGTAGCTCTACTCCTGCCTAAAGGGTTATTCTTGGTCTCTGGCTGTTTCTTCCTCTTGTCTCTGATTCACAGTCTTGGAGGCTGCAGGGCTTAGTTGTTGGCCCTTATCTCTGGTTATACCAGTGGTGATCTCATTCAATTTGGTAATTTCAAGGTTTAAATATGTCAATGCCAATGACCCCTGAATTTACATGTCCAGCCCAGACCTTTCTCCTAAACTCCAGATTCATAAAGCCAGATGCCTACTCAGCACACAACAAACATCTTAAATTCAACATGTCCAAACTTGAACTTTATCTGCAACCTTCCTAGTTGATGGCAATTATTCCTTCCAATTGCTCAGGCCAATTGGAAGAGGTATTCTTGACTTTTGTTTTTCAATCCTACCCTACATGCAATCATGAGGATTATCTATTGGCTCCACCTCCAAAATATATCCAGAAATTGAAGATTTCATGCACTTGCCTGTGACTATCCTGGCTCAAGCTACCATCATCCCTCTCCTAGAAAAGTTCCAAAGGTATCCTCACTTCATCTGACAGTCTTTCCTTGGCTCTCAGTTATACTTACAAAACTTTTAAAGAGTTTTAAAGAATAGCATCAGATCATGCTACTCCTTTGCTCAAAACACCAAGTGTTTCCCCACTCCTCTTATAGAAGAAGCCAAAGTCCTTGCAGTAGCTCACCCACCCTAGGTAATTTGCCTGCAAGTCCCTGCATTCCCCACCCACTTACATGATGCAGTTTCTTGCACTGGGCCTCTCCTCAAATTCTAGTTCTTCCTGCATGCTCTTCCCCCATGTATTGGTGGCTCACTTCCTTCTTGTCTTCCTAAAATTATTTCAGGGAGGTATACTTCAACCACTTTTTCAATACTGCACACCGGTCCCAAACTCTAGAGTGCTCCTGATCCCCCACTCCTACATGGCTCTGTGCTTTCTCTTTCTCCTGGCTCTCACTGCATTCTAAGATCCTCAAGGGAAAAGATCTGTGTTGCTCACCAATGTTTCCCAAATCCTAGAACAGTGTCTAGACTTAGGGTCCCTAAGTCTTTATGGATAAACAAATTTGTTGACAACAGAAGTGACTACTGTTAAGGATAAAGTCAGTGAATGAGCTTACCTCTTTTATTGTAATATTAGAACTGGTACATATTTAAAATCATTGTAGCTAAATTTTTTCATTCATTCTGCAATAACCGAAAAAATAGACACCTACTCTGCGTCCAACAGTAGACATAGAAAGAAGTGCAGCAGATTACAAGAGGTAGTTATTGCTTTAAGGAGTTTGCATTTTACGTTAGGACGTGAGAAGCACAGCCCCAAGGTGATAGATGTAAAACAAGAGATAAAGAATAAGACAAAATGGTATGTCAGGAATCAAAATAAGGCAAGGTTATTGTTCATTCAATTTTACTTATAAATTGACTCAACATAAAGGATTAGAGGAGCATATGCAATGATATATACCATAAAGTGAATAAAATGGAAACAGGAAATAAGAACAAATGTAAATGAAAGAAACAGACTCTTCCTAAGAGTTAATACCAAGCATCAATTCAGTTTCTGGTGTTGCCATGAGAATTGA